GGAGGTCTCTGGCTTCCTCCTTCCTGACAGGTAAGGGCAGGGCAGAGCCCGCCTGGGCAGTTCTCCGGCTGGGGCTGGCCCCGCTCAGCATCCCGGGGCAGGGGGGCCGGCAAGAGAAGCCCTTTCCCATTGACAAGTGATGCTGGGCAACCAGGACCGGCTAAAGCCCAGAAGCTCCTTGACATCCAACCAGCTTCCCACCTCCCAGCGCCGCGCTGAGCCCTTGGAGTGGTGATAAATACTCAGCATTTGTAGCAAAGAAGTGGTGGCGCTTTGTTGTGTTGTTTAGTGCATTGTGTGTTGGAAATACTAGATTGCCACTGTCCATTTGTGTGTTTTAAAACGCATTCCAGAAGAAAACATTAATGATTGTAATGACAAGTATTCAGGCAGGTGACGTCCTAAGTTGTCCCCCCCTTGAAGGACATACTTTACTGACACCTGGTGCATGAAGGAAAACGTTAAGTCAATTTTTAGTAAAAGCAAGAGGTATTAGATTTCAAAAAGTGATCCCAGCATGAGATAATACAGGACTAATAGGGATAGAGACCATACAGGAGATTTCTAACGTGACTCCTTTTGTAAATCGACTCTCCTGGCAGAGTCTGTTCCTTATGGACCAGAAAAAGGGTTGAGTTGTTGGTACTGTACCTAGGGGGCTGACCCAAAGCCCACTGAAATAATGGAATTCTTTCCACTGATTTCAATGAGCTTTAGATTAGATCATTTAAAGAAGTATCCCATGATTAATGAAATACTCACTATTGCACAGCTCATCTGAGAGGAGAAGAATCATCTCTGTTGTAAATGGGGGGCACACTAGGCAAGTCTAGATTTTGTACAGAAGAATAAGACTAGTCACATACTAGCTCTCATCAGGATCTTATAGAAACTGCCCCTTTGAATAGTTTTTGTGCATTTGCTTCTGATACTGGTTATTTAGAGCAGGTAAAATTTAAAATGGAAGCTAGGAGCTGTACAGGAGCTTAAATCAGAATTAGAAATCTGAATACTGAAGACAGCCAGTGAATTAAAATTTGAAAACATATTTTTTTATTTTGCTTTCCATCTCAGGATCTGTTGCAAAATGTGAAAATGAAGGGGAAGTCCTACAGATACCATTTATCACAGACAATCCTTGTATAATGTGCATTTGCCTGGTAAGTTTGGATTTCAGGTAATACGAACACTAAGGAATGTACTAAAAGTAACTGTACAAAGAAAGGAATACATTGCATAATCAAATCTTGGGCATTTGTTGCCTTTATGCAATGCAAGGTTATCTCAATACTGAGATAACTAGAAAATATTCCAGTTTGCTATCTTGGAATCATCATTTTCACTTTAAACTCATAAATGACTTTAATATGACATTGTGAGACTTGCTGATAACTACATTTATCATGTGAATTTGTGGTGATAATTATTTTTACAAAGTCACATGTACTTTGGCATGAGATTTCTGCATAGCTGGTACTTATGAGCAGAGCAAGGAGGTTGAAATGTGGGGCTTAGAGGCGTGTTGCTTTCAACCTATACAGATGTTAACTATTGAAAAAATGGCATGAGGGGCCAAAATGAGGGATGCCACAAGTCAGTAAAGAAAAAAGTGCAGCTGATTTAAAGTCCACAACTTTAGTTTTCAAAGTACAACACAGTATATTTTCAGGCACTCTTGACTAGACTGATTGTAATAAGAAGACAATGTGAGCATGCATGATATTTTCATAAAGAATGTCATTCTGAGGCAGTCACTGCTTTTTGAGCTGGAATTCAGCTGCCATATTTGTTAACAATTACACTGAAGTACCTCTACTTTGTAGTCCTTTCCTGAGGGAAATATCCCCATTTCTTGCACTGGCTTTCAGTTTCACAGTTAAACATTTTGGATGCTCTTTAGTTGATCAAACCTACTGAAGACTGCATTGACATCCATGGACTTTTTGGATTCAGGACCACTGATAACTTTTTAAACGTCAATGACAAAAATTGGTATTGAATTCTGAAGGGGAAGGGGTGAGAGAAAGGCATGGACATGAAAGAAATAAAAGGGAAAAATATACATCAAGATGGATTTTATGATTGGTCCAAGATTTTGTTTCCCAAATATCTGCCACACAGCTCTAACTAATGGAAAGGAGCTAATAGCAGTGAAGAAACACTTGATGTAGGTCAATGTCAGACTAACAGTAACACATCAGGGCAAAATATCAGACCCCTTTATAGTTTGTAACATTGTCTCAGTCAACACACTTTTAGAAAACATGGATTAACATGGCATGAAAACAAGGTGGATGAACACTGCAAAAAATACTAGAAGAACATTGAATCTATATGGCCTAAAGAACAATCTTTCTCAGGCAAGAACCGTCTCTCTCTATATGTATGTTCAAGAAAGTCTTTTGAAGAGTTTATATCTTACCACTAACTCAAATCTGATAAATTACCCTTTGCTTTTGTGTACAGATTGCAACTACTCATTAATATTAAATGTTTAAAGGGTTCAGGTAACCTAATCTGCAAAGAAGCAAAACTATGGCATTATAAGTGGCTATAAAACAATAGTTCTTACAACAAAAGTACTTTGTATTTCTATAATGCTTTCCATTTAATAATCTCAAAGCCCTTTACAAACATTAATGAATTTAGCCTCACAAAAACTTTACACTAATAGCTTCAGTTTTGCAGACGAGAAATGTAATGTACAGAAGTCTCACAAGAGATCTGGGGAAAAAGCGGGAATATAGGCTAGGTTTTCTAGCGCCCACTCCAGTGATTTAACCACAAGACCATCCTTTTCCATCCTCAACACTTCCCTTTGTGAGCTGATGTGGATAGTATAGTGGCATTGTTAGCAAACTCTTATTTTTTCACCACAACGATGGACAAATTACTGTGGTAGTAGGACATTTTCGGGTCTGCTGACTGAGATTACTTTTAAATTCTGGGTGGGCAAAAGATGGCTTTACACCAGTTTTGTGACATCTGGATTTTGAGAGCTTTAACTTATATTTGGCTGCCAACATCCTTGAAGTGCTGTTCCATGTGTTGGGATCGCTGAAATGCAGAGGTGCTCTGTCTTCCTCTTTGTACTGGCAAATCATCCTACATCTGTGGTTCCATGCCTCCTGGAGAATACCTTTATACCAGGAAAATTCCCAAGTAAACTGGTTTGTTGCCTGCTTTGTGCCATTGGAATAGAGCAAAGCAAGCTGAAGGTAACCAAGAACAGTGCCCATGCTTTCTTGTGTAAGGAGACTTTGATCATAACCGGAAAAAGAAATGGTATCTGGAATTCTCTGTCTAAATAGTGCAATGGACTTTTTCTAACATGTAAGAAGCACAACACTAAGATATTATAAATAGGTGAAGGTGACTTTCTATATCACAAGTTAGTAGTAACAAAGATTAAGTAAACGAAACTTCTGAGGAACAATAGTCACTATAATATTGTCACTATAAAATGAAATTATATTGGAAAAAGATGATTACTCACATTTTACACAAGAATCCAAGTGTCTCCTAGATGGTACAGTATGTTGTACTGAATTATAGAAAAAATAAAAAAAAATGAATGAATGATTTTTAATGAAATTGGCTACAAAATCAGTTTGTACTAACTTAAGGCTTGAAAAATACAAAGTCTAAAATATTACTCTTTATGCAAAGAATAGCTGTGGAATGTTGTGGAATCTGTGGTTGATTGACAGAAGCCCAGGCTTAAGAGAACATGTATGAATTTAATATGGTAATGATGGGTATAGATATGTTTGATGACATTCATATTTATACCAGCAAAGCATTGATTCAGTTCAAGGTGGTCATACATTTATGTCTGCCATTAAATTCTTTAGAACTTTTGAGGATTATAGCTACAATATCCAATGTAAGATACAAACTGCAGAAAGTCCATTGTAAAAATGTCCCCCACAGATACAATCTTGAAACTGATTCAATGCACAGAAGTATAGGATTGAGGCCATGGGACATAGATGTTAAACATGGGTTAGTGTGACATTACACAAAGATTAAGACCTATCATATTCGATACTGTTTTGAATTTTTCAGAGTTCAGGTATGTACTTTAGACTCAAGATATTAAAAGGAAAATGAAAAACTGGCTATCGCTAATGAATGTAAATGGAAGCTTAGATTAGAATTTGTTGATATGAATGTTCTTTATATAAAATGTGCATGGAATATTTCAAGTTAAACTGTTATTAGTACAGTAAATGAGCAGGTTTAGCTCAGTTTTTGTTGGTCGAGATTTTTGGCTGAAAGTGGTCCAAAGCTGAAAATAGGACCACATCTGATATCATAGTATTTTTTTTAAAATATATACTTTAACATAAGCTTGGAAAAGACATAAAAATGCTACAGTCTGGCAGAAGTAGGTGAGATGGAGCTGTATATAATTATAGTGCAAAAACCTAAAGTCCCACAGAATCAATTTATCCTGAATTAAACTGTTGAGCTCTGAATTTTCAAAGGTGGGATGAGCTCATGGCAGCAGCGGTGGTGGTGTGATGATGATGATGATGATGATGGATGGTTGTGGTGGTGGTGGTGAAGAGAGCCATGTAATTTCATTCTCATTCATCATCGTCTGCATAAACCTAAACACCTCGCCAGAAGCAAGGAGGGATCCAAGAATAACCTTATTTATTGGCTGGAGTCAGAGGGATGTAGTTTTAACATGAAAAAGAAAATAGCATACTAGTTCAAAGAGATAGGTGAGACATATCTGTTGTTCTTAATTACAATGAACTGGGTGACTAGACTCTAGAAAGGTACTGATGGCCTGATGGTTGCAGGAGCTTATCTGTCATGTATTAAACCTACACCAAAAACGGTTCTCATGTTCTCAAGAGGGTGGAGTATTTTCCTCATGCCATAAGAAAAATGTGTGTGTCACATATGAAATAACAGCTGATAGAAGCCAGTGGTGACCTTGACAAACCACACAAGCTGTTCCATTTCTTCCCTCCATTCTGCCCTTTGCCTTAAACCTGATGACTACACCTGAAGAGTGGTAATCATACTTCTCAACCTTTTATCACCTAAATCCAGAACAGAAGGAAACAAATGTGAGCCAGAAAGTATAACCCAGTGATGGAAACCTGAGGAAAGCTTTGAGGCAAGAGCTAAGGAAACTAGAAGTCAGAGCTTAGCTTGGCATGAATTTTATTGGGCATGAAACATCATTCTGTAGTTTAAATTTCTGTTTTTAACTCCAAATATGCAATATAAGAATTTGACCTTTTCTGATAAAAAATATGTTGAATTTAATGTTATAAGAACCAGTATTCCACCTAACTTGTCATGTTTTTGATCCACATTTTAAATCAAGCCATACAACAATAACCCACCCAGGAAAAGAAAAGGCAAGAAAGTTATCTTACCTGGGTTTTCTGGGATTATTTACCTGCAAGTATCCTAGAGGCTTCTATTGCACAAATCCATATCTGAGTGTGGATGGCCAGCATGAGACCAAATGTTCAGCACATGTTTGATGAAGATGGCAGTGTTTTAGTACAGCAGGATTCAATTTTTGTTGTGTCAAGATATAATGTAGCCCAGATGAATTTCAGTGGAAAAGTATATATTAAAAAAACCCCATCAAACAATTCTTTCATATCTATTATATTTAATATAGTTTCTTCTAAAGAACATACAAAAAGAGCATCTCTGTCAATTTCAATGATCCTCTTCCTTTATTACTTTACAATATAATTAGTTTTCTCTTCACCCCCTTCATAAACACCACCACTCAAACCCAAGAAGACAAAAGAGCTTCAGTTACCGTGGTTTAATAGTAATTCTCATAGACTCTTAGTAAGAGAATGTTATTTTGATCAGTATTTGAAAGTGCAAACATGCTCCATCAGAATACTGTGTTTTATTAGTTTTTATCCAATTTTAAAAAGGCAAATGTACACTCTTAAATAGAAAAATGGTGTTTAGTGTAGCTACGTATCTGTGTATGTTTTGCCAGAGCTGTTGGAGGATGGTCTGTGTATATAAAAGTACTGGTAGGAGCAAGGATTTATTAAAATAAGAGACTAAGGTTAATTACCTGCAGTAGAAACAACTTGGTTTAGTAGACTCTGCAAACAGCTCATAGACTCTACTATTATTATACTGTCACATACATATAGAG